TTATAAATAGATATAATCAGAGATTTTTTTTTAAAGTTGTGTCCCAAATTTTGCTGCAAGAAATTTGTGATCTAGTTAAATCTCTGGTATTGACCAGTTGTACAACCTCAGGCAAGTCACAATTAAAACCTGGGTTTCAATTAACTCACCTATAAAAGAATTCTCGAGTTCTCTCTCAACTACCCCATATTTATGAAATATCTCTCATTCAAAGGTGAATCCCAAACTCCTAATTACACACCTTATGACTTCAGCTCCTGAGACACACAGATCTGAAAACACTAGAGAAATGTCCCTGATGTTTTACTAACATTGAGCATCTTGCTCCATCCCTAGTTTATAAGACACTCAAGAACAAGTTGCTATATTTTATGTACATCTGGATATGCTCCTACAGACAAAGCATCCAGAACAAACTAAATGTTTGATTAATGCAAGTGGAACCAAATAGTTGAGCTCTACCATTCAAAGCTCTCTATTAAATGCCTTTCCCACAAAATGTTCTGGAGGCTTACAGTTCAGAGGAGTAATGGGCTCCATCCATCCACAGCCAGGCCTTGCCACTGCCATTGCGGGAAAGCCCTGTCCAATAAGAGTAGAAAAACTCAGAGTAGCTCTGAGGCATGGCAAACTCCTGTGAAAGGCACACAAGAAAATCTTTAGTTTTCAGACATTATAACATATCTGTAGAGATTTGTGGGGCCAAACCAACTGTCTTAATAGCATGGTCCTGTCTCAAATGGATGTTGTTGTTGTTGTTATGTGCCATCAAGTCGGACCTGACTCATAGCGACCCCTCCTTGGGTTTCCGAGACAGTATCACTACGGAAGTAGATTGCCCCATCTTCCTTCTGAGGAGTGGCTGGTGGGTTTGAACCGCCAGCCTTCTGGTTAGCAGTCAAGTGCCTTAGCCACTATGCTACCAGAGCTCCCTCTCAAATGGATAACACTTGTAAAAAAGAAAAAGTGTCTGTGGTGAGGTCAGTTAGAAAGTTGTCCAAGTTAAAGAACTTATTTTGACTCAGTAAGCAAGCATCATTTACTGATATTTTGAAACAAAGAATTATAAAAACTAAGGTTTATATAAATAAACAAAAACAAACTCACTGCCCTAGAATTGATTCGGACTCATGAGGATCCCGCCTTGGGTTTCTGAGGCAGATCTCTATGGAAGCAGATCGCCCAATCATCCTTCAGAGGAGTGGCTGGTGGGTTTAAATCTCCAACCTTCTGGGTAGCAGTCAAATATCTTAGGCAGTAGGCCATAATTTTCAGGATTAAGTAACAAGACCAATATAAAAATGTAGTAGGCAAATACACAGAGGGATGTGAAGTGATTCTGGGAAAGGGAAGAATCTGACAAGAAAAGTGCAGGAATGGGGAATTGCTATGCATTGAATTTTGTCCCCAAAAAATATGAGTTGTAAATCTTAATCCCTATACCTGTGATAATAATCCTGTTTGGGAATGTTTTCTTTGTGTTTGTTAAAGCCATCTACTTTTACAGCATTTCTGACAGCAACATTAGATAACTAAGACAGGAAATAACCTTTATAAATACCACTGAGAACTGCCCAGGAAAGAGAAAGAGGTATGGAATGCATTTTAATGCAAAAAGGGGAAAAGGAAGGATTTGGAAGCAAGGTTTATATGTGAGACTAGGAAAGGGAAAAGATAACTTAAAAAAAAATCATATATATAGATAGAGAGAGAGATAGAGAGACAGATAGATAGACATATAATATGCATAATGTTTCCTTTTATAAGATACACTGTAGAATTTCAAAGAGTTCTTTATTCCCTCCTATTCAGTTTTACTCTATCTTCCAAATAACTTTAACACAGTGATTATTTATGATATTTGTGGAAATGAGTAATTTTTTTGATTATTCTAATTTTTATACTGTTTAATTTGTATGTCTTTTCCCGTATACTATGAGCAATCCTACTTCCGTAATGATACTGCCTCGGAAACCCAAGGAGGGGTCGCTATGAGTCGGGGCCGACTCGACGGCACATAACAACAACAACAACAATGAGCTTTAAAGGGAGTTCTGGTGTTGTAATGCCTAAGGCATGTAACTGCTAACCATGTAGCCTGGTGGTTCAAACCCATCAGCTACTCCTTGGAAGGAAGATCGATCAATTTACTTTTGTAGAGATACAGCCTTAGAAACCCAAGGAGGGGTCACTATGGGTAGGAACCTACTCGACGGCAGTGAGTTTGGTTTTATCTGGTTTGTATGAGCTTTAAAATAAAATATATTGTGTTTTATTCATTTTTATATCCTCAGCCACTCAGATATGGATACACATACATTGAGTCAATAATGTATTTGCAATATTGGAAATATAAATTAAACTATTACTAAAGAATAATCGGGAGCTCTGGTAGCATAGTGGCTAAGGCACTTGACTGCTAACCAAAAGGTTGGCGGTTCAAACCCACCAGCCACACTCCTCGGAAGAAAGATGGGGCAATCTACTTCTGTAGTGATACTGCCTTGGAAACCCAAGGAGGGGTCGCTATGAGTTGGGTCCGACTTGATGGCACATAACAACAACAACAACATAGAATAATCATGGAGTACATACATCAAAAGAACTGTAATTGGAAGACATTGTTCTAATTGAGGACCCTCAATTAAAAGTACTAAAAATAAATCATATAGATATGATTATTTTAACATGTATAAAGTTATAATGTGCATGAGGAAATATTAATATATAATTTCCTAATCAAATTTCCTACCACTGTATGTAATGGTGTAGTGCATAAGGCATTTGACTGCTAACCAGAAGGTTGGTGGTTCAATTCCACCAGCCACTCCTGGGAAGGAAGATTGGGTAATCTACTTCCATAGAGATACTGCCTCGGAAAACCTAAGGAGGGGTCTCTATGAGTTGGAATTGACTGGACAGCAGTGAGTTTGGTTTTAGGGACCTCTGGTGGCATAGTGCCTAAAGCATTTGACTGCTAACCAGAAGGCTGGCAGTTCAAACCCACCAGCCACTCCTCAGAAGGAAGATTGGGCAATCTACTTCCGTAGTGATACCACTTCAGAAACCCAAAAAGGGGTCACTAGGAGTCGGATTCGACTCTACAGCAGTGAGAGTGAGTATGCAGTAAAGTTCAGTTATATACCTGAATCCTCAGGATGTGATGGAGGCAAAATAAACAAAAATGAGAAAAATTAGGAGAGTTTATGCCAGACATATTATCTTTGTCAAAGAAATGGCCTTCTCATATTGCCTAAGTAAGTCATTAAGGAAGGGGGATATATCATGTTAGTAGATAAGAGACTAGAGAGGTTAATTCATCACAGATTTCCAGAAATGAGTAGGAATTAAGTTATGATTAAGGAGCTTTGGTGGCATAGTGCCTCAATTTGACTGCTAACCAGAAGGTTGGCAGTTCAAACCCACCAACCACTCCGCAGAAGGAAGACTGGGCAATCTACTATGAGTCGGAATCAAGATGATGGCACTGAGGGGTTTTTTTTGTTTTTTTTTTAAGTCATAATTAGAAAGATGTTATAGTTTGCTGACACAGATATTTAATTCAATATTTTTCAATTTATAGTTTTATTCTCATCTTTGTCTTGACTAGTTTATCTTAGGCTATAAACTATGAAAAGCAAAATGGATATTCAGAGATTATCATAATGATTTAGCTAAATTATTATTCAATAAAAAGCTAGGTCAATCTCATAATAGAAGAGCAGGAAGTTTTGCTGTCATCTTTCTGATTTTGCAACATCCTTGTTCCCTATCTATGCAAGCCAAAAGAGGTTAAACAACAATAAAAAAGACATTCTTCATTTGATCTTTGACAAGAAGTTTGAAGAGATACCTCACACAGTTCTAACACAAAGGTGCTGTGGAGAACAGAATTCCTCTCGAATACCTCAAAAAAAAAAAAAAAAAGCCAGATACCTGAATGAATCATTTACAGGAATAACACTTAGGCCTTGAGTAGGAGAAATTATTGCCCAATATGCTTGACTCCATAAAGTCTTCTTGTCTAGCTCTGTTAAGGGCTTTACAAATGAGATTCCCTTAAACATGGACAAATCCTCAGGACCTCACCAGCACTTCTTGTGTGCTTATCTTCAGCATGGTAGAGTTCTCAGCAATGCAGAAATATTCACATCCCTGCCAACTCTTACTTTCTTTAAAGAATTGGTAACATTTGTCCCCATGCCATTTCCATTTTTCTGGACAAGGGCTGCACCTGTGTTCTTGGAAAGAAACAAAATTTAATAAGTGCTTATATAGTTGGGTCTACAGTCTTTCCTTTCTTGACATTAAACAGTATTTGATGAGCCAAGGAAGAATTGACTCTCTTTCTCTTTGGTATTTAACCATCTAGGCAATGATTACTACACATATTTACTAGATATCCATTATATGCCAGGAACTATAATTAGTGTTGAGTATATAGTAGAAAGAAAAAGAAACATTACTTGTGTACATGGAGTTTGGAGTAATAAATGAATAGAACTTACTTGACCTTTACTTATGTAGTTCTTCACACAAGATATTCAGTTGCATAAAGAGTGTTTCATATGTTCATAAATTCAATATGTATTGGATTTAAGAAATGTTTATATTTTCTTCCACAAAAATCTTCCCATAGGATAGTAAAAGGGGTTTAAGAAACACTGTATAAACCAAAATGGTATGAACTCTTTCCCTACTCTAAACACAAATAAATAAATTTTTAGAAATAAAATTAAATCCTGAGCTGAGCATGAAATTAGAATGGTAAATCTTCAAGTGTCAGAAGTTAAGATAGAACTCAGAGAAGTATGTGTACAGGTTGAGGGTGAGATGTACCATGTGAGTAATGGTTGCAAATATAGAATTAAGTCTTGAAAGCTATAGTTTTAATTCGTATGTGGCTACAAAGCTGTGAATCTTTGAGAGCTGGGAACTTGACCCGAGAACCTTGTAAGAATGTGGTGGAGTAAAAACTTTAGTCAGAGCCATATATTTTTTTTTTTAAAGACAATCTAGTTTCAAAATATTAGCAGGCTAAAATCTAAATATAGATGAGTTATATTATTGTTTGTATTTTCCTGTATTTTTTAAAATGTTCATAATGTAAAATTAAATTTTAAATGAATAGTAATCTATGAAATCATCTTGTCTTGATATAAATTCCCACGTTGCTGTGGCACTCCACAGCTTTTGAGCTAACACAGACAACTCTGTTTGGCCTACAATTCAGCCAGAAGGAAAATAATGAACCTGGATAGAGTCATTGACAAATGAAAGTGGTTTAAGATTTTCTAAAACATAGACTAAGGAATTATTTTTATCTAAGAGGATAGCTATAAAAAATAAATAAGATAAAGTATAACTACTGCAATTAGCACAGTGATGTACTCACACAAAGCACTCAATAAATACTAGTTTCTGTTGTGATTGATTTTGTTATCACAACTTAGATCACTCTCAACTATAATAAGAGCTCCAGGAGTGCACAAATCCCTGTGTATTTTATTGCAGAATCCAGAAAAACAAAAACAACAACAACAAAAATTAATGGCCTTGAGTTGACTCCAACTCAAAGCAACCCCTCCTTGGGTTTCTGAGGCAGTGTCTCTATGGAAGTATATTGCCCAGTCTTCCTTCCAGAGGAGTGGTTGGCAGGTTTGAACTGCCAGCCTTTGGGTTAGCAGTCAAATGCCTTAGGCAGTACGCCACCATAGCTCCCCATTATATGCATCAAAAGAAAAAAAAAAAAACCCTCACTGCCATCCAGGAGATTTGATTAATTGATTCATAGCCACCTCTCCTTGAGTTTCCCAGGAGATATCTCTATGAAAGTAGATTGCTCAGTCTTCCTTCCGAGGAGTGGCTGGTGGATTTGAGCTGCCAGCGTTCTGGTTAGTAGTCAAATGTCTTACGCCCTATGCCACCAAAGCTCCTATTGTATGCACCAGTACAAAAAAACCTGAACTCACTGCCCAGGAGTCTCATCCAACTCATAACGACCTCTCCTTGGGTTTCTGAGGTGGTATCATGGTGGAAGTACATTGCCCAATCTTCCTTTTGAAGAATGGCTGGTGGGTTTGAACCACCAGCATCAGTAGACACTAAATAAATATTTGATGAGTAGATGGATGGCTGAAAAGATGGATGTACAGATAATAGGTAAGAAGAAAGCAAGGAATTGAAACCTGTAGAATAACACTGAGAACTAAGATCTAACCAGAAATATGTGAAAATTTGTATGAAAATGAGCAACTTCATTAATATATTTGCATATGTGTTTTATAAGGCACTGTGATGGCATAGTGCCTGAAGCATTTGACTGCTAACCAGAAGGCTGGCAGTTCAAACCTACCTGCTGTTCTGTGGAAGAAAGATGGGAGAATCTACTCTAAAGATTTACCAGAATTGACTTGAAGGCAGTGAATTTGGTTTTGTTTTTTTTGTATTGGTTTCATATTTGCTTTAAATATGGTTTATTTGTAAAGGTTTTCATTTGATTTGTTTTTATACATGTATGAGAGCTTAAAATCAGAGGAACATGGTATACATAAATAGAGCAGTCTGAGAGCAGAGCTTGAACTTTATTTTAAAGTCTTGAAATGAGTCTAGAATCTGTCCTGAATTATCAAGCAGCTTTTTCTAGCGGAAGTTACTCTAACCTTGATGCTGACCTAACCTTGATGGGGACTATATACCTTAAAGGAGACATTCTTTTTCCCTAAGGTCTGGCAGGTACAGGATAACACAATCTATACCCAGAGGTTCTTTCCACTATTGTCAAACTGATGCAAGATGCAATAGCTTATAAGTGAAGAAGGGTCTTGATGCATAAGATTTCTGAAAAATATTTATAATGGATCCCCAGTAACAGAAATTATTGAGAAAGCAATTTTACATCAGGTTACCAAAAAAAAAAAAAAAACCTGTCATTTTCCTGAGACCATCCTGGAATAAACCCACAAACATGTATGCTTGCAATTAAGTACCTTTAACCAATCATGTAATCCCATATACATGTTATCCATTTATCCCTGCTAGATAGATATCCAGCTTTTGACTCCCTTGATTGTCTTTCACCCGCATTGTGATTTTGTAACTTTTAGTTCCTGTTCCAACTGTACAAAAATGTTTCCTTCCTCACTGTCCTGCAGAGCCACCACCTTCACTCTGTGTATTTGAATGTCTTCCCTGTCCTGTCTCTATCCTTCAATAAACCTCTCTTGCTTTTACTTTAAGCAGACTCCATGATGCTGCTCTATGACATATAATTGGATATAGAATACAGAGAGCTGGATTACCTTCCTGATGATATGGCGTCTAACAAAGAAAGGAATATCAGGAAAGTAAGAAAGGAAAGAAAATTGTGACCAGTGTGACCAACAATCATGTGGGAAAGAATGGACCCACTTAGAGAAATAGAATTATGGCTAGTAAAATTATTTACTGGACCCAATTAATCTTGTTGTATGGTGAAGATGAGAGAAATGCATGAAAGACTAAAAGAAGTCATCTTAGTTTTGAGTTTCAAAGGAAAAACAAAAAGTAGAGACTTGAAAATGTATATAGTTTCCTATTCATGCATGTTAAGAAGATCAGAAGGAAGAGCTGAACTGAAAAGACTACTATGAAACTCAAAAAATGACAAGCACTAATTATTAGAGGGAAGAAAACAACAACACAGACTGAAACAATGTTTCTAGTCTCTTCTAGTAGTGTTAATTAAACCATCATTCTCCTACTCTTGGCAGTGTAATCATCGAGGTCCTTATTAAAATGCGGATTTTTGAACCCAGAGAAGTTATACTGAATTCAAATAGCTGGGATTTGATTCAGGCTATATGAATTTTTAAACTGATCTCTATATGAGTCCTACATTTTGCAAATTATAGTTATAAGATTGCTGACTTGTTAATGGGGAAAGATTTATAACCACATTGTGAAGTGTATGTTACTGTTAGAATTCTTTGTGCCAACGTAAATTGGGATATATCCCATATTTTGTTTACTTGCAATATTATTTTGGTTCTTATAAGTTAATTCCTTTTATTGTTTAAAATCTCTGAATTTAACAAATTCATTCATACACAGCAACTCATATATCCAACCACATGATTCCTGTATCTGGTAATGACCTTGATAACCAAACACTTTATAGAGTTTGTCAGGTACTTAGTTGAATAATACATGGTCCCAAGTTATACTGATGGGATTTTCAGCCCTACTTTGATAGATATCTGAAGGGAAAAGGAAAATTCAGTGATTTGGGCCCATTTACCTCCAGTTTTATTATAGAGCTCACGACAAAGTTTTTCAGCTACACGCTGCAGAGTTTCTGCAAGTTTCCTATTCTGGGCTTGTAGACATTGTAGCTGTTGGGAGAGGTTCCCCAATCTTTCTTCCTTTTGAGAGATGTTGTCTTGCTGGGTAATGGAGAGCTCGTAGAACTGAAAAACTAACCCAAGTCACCAAGTCAGACTGGTCAGCTTATAGATCAGGAATCTTTCTACATATGGAGAAAACATGTAGTATATTACTTAAGATCTCAGATTGCCAATATTCAAATTTGTGCTCTAACCAAAAAACAAATCCACTGTCATTGAGTCCATTCCAATTCATAGTGACTCTATAGGAGCTCTGGTGGCGTAGTGCCTCAGGCATTTGACTGCTAACCGGAAGACTGCCTGTTCAAACTCACCAGTCACTCCTTGGAAGGAAGGTTGGGCAATATACCTCCATAGTGATACCACCTTGGAAATCCAAAGAGAAGTTGCTATGAGTCGGATCCAACTTGATGGCAGTGAGTTTGTTTTTGTTTTGTTTTTCTATTGGACAGAATAGAACTTCCCCCATAATGTTTAAAAAGCTGCATATATTTGTGGAAGCAGACTGCCTCATCCTTCTCCCATTGAGTGGCTGATGGGTTCACACTGCCGACATTTTGGTTAGCAGCCGAATGCTTTAATCACTGTGCCACCAGAGCTCCTTTTATCTGTACTCCAGTATATAATAAATTATATGATTTCAAGCACATTAATTTTTCTAAGTCTGCTTTCTTATCTGAAAATGTGAAATCATAGCAGCAGTGCCTAATTTTAGGAATAAATTTCTAGACCATATTTACTGCTCCATAAATATTTTTGTATACACTCTCAAACTACTATTCAAGCTAAAACAACAAATTTGTGTGTGCATTGATCATTATATTGAGGACTGAAAATATAAAAGTAGTTAACATAGCCATATTATCACTTCTATAATTTTATAGATTTGCAATTAAGTTCATTGAGAACAACTTTCCACATAACACTTGTCTAGAAAATTACTACATCTACATTTAAAGTTCAGGTTTCTAAATCTATGTGGAGACAATCATGAATCATGAAAGTTACTTTATATCCCTAAAAACGGGTGGTGGTTGTAAAGCAATAGTTCATAATATCATAATTAATTTTTTGAAAAGGAGTCAAGAGAAAAAAAATAAGAAACAGATATAGATGTAGGTACTTATATATTTATTTTTAAATATTAAAATTCAAGATACACCAACAAAAGTTCTAAAATTTGCTACACTGACCCACTTTTTTTGGCATTAAAATCTGATCTTCTAGACAAAAAAAAAAAAGACTGGAAAACCAATAAATGAATAAAGGAAAGAATAAAAGTACAAAGCCAGTTAATATAAAACAGCTACAAATATGGAGGATATTAAGCCAATTCTGTCAATAAAGACTTAAAATGAGAACAGTCTAAATAAATTAAGAGATTACCAAAGTGGATAAAAAAACAAGATCCAAGTATATGCTAACCACAAGAAGCCACTTTAAATATACAAATAATTTAAAAGTAAAGGCATGAAGAGCAATACAGCATGTTAACACTGAATAAATCTGGAGAAGCTGTATTAATTTTATATGAATGGATAAACTGTGATATGTCCATTCAATGGAGTATTATTCAGCAAGAAAAATAAATGAGCTATCAAAATACAAAAAGACATGGGGGAACCAAAGTGCATGCAGTGTTGGGGGAACTAGTCTGAAAAAGCTATATTCTGTGTGATTTCAACTATATGACATTCTGGAGATGGCAAAACAATACAGACAATTAAAAAGAACAGTGGCTTCCAGGGGCCAGGGGAGGAATGAAAGGATGAACAGGTAAAGTATAAGGTGTTTTAAAAGCAGTGAAACTTCTCCGAGTGATACTGTAATGGAGACATAACATTATATATTTGTTAAAACCCTGCAACACAAAGAATGAAACTTAATGTAAACTATAGACTTTAGTTAATATAGTGCGTCAATACTGGTTCATTAATTGTGACAAATGTACCACACTAATGCAAAATTTTAATAACAGGAAAAACAGTGGAGGAGGAGAGAAGATAGATGGGAACTCTGTATTTTCCGTGCAATTTTTCTGTTAACTTAAAATGGCTCTTTTAAAAAGACATTTTAAAAAAAGAAAAAAGAACACTTCTCTATGGGACCTTTTTTCTTGAATCACTTCCACTGTTTAGGAAACACTACTGTAGGGTTTCATTCTGATGAGGCAGATCTTGCTCTTCCCAAACCCACTGCCATCAAGTCGTTTGTGACTCATAGTGACCCCCGTTGGGTTTCTGAACTGGTCAATCTTTATAGAAGTAGATTGTTCTGTTTTCCTTCCGCAGAGTTGCTTGGGGGTTTGAGCCACCAACCTTCCGGTTAGCATTCAAATACCTTGGGCACTGTGCCACTTAGTAGTATGGAAGTTATGGACTTCTATATCTGTATTTATTTATTTATTCTGATTTTCAGAAATTTCTGCAAAATGACTCTGCAACTTCCTGGCTTTTTCGAAAAATATCATAGAACTTAAGGACTTGCTATACTTAAAAAAACAAAACAAAACAAAAAAAAAACCTCACTGCCCTCCAGTCAGATCCAACTCATAAAATCCCTTCCTTGGGTTTCCGAGGCTGTATCACTACAGAAGTAGATAGCACAATCTTCCCTCTGAGGAGTGGCTGGTGGGTTTAAACCACCAGCCCTCTGGTTAAGTAGTCAAATGCCTTAGGCACTACTCTACCAGAGCTCTCATACCTATATTAAATGGGTGATATATAAACATAATCTCTTTTCTCTGCACTAGCCCTCTAAGCCACCATACAGAGAATAAACAATCACAACAGTCTTGCTGTTTTGTGAAATAGGAGCATGGATTCATTAGATGATTTAAGTTTTAAATAATTGTGTATCAACAAACATACACAAACCTTCTTATCTTAAAATAGACTGTATAATTCTAATAGGCAGGGGATTGCTGCAGTTTAATTCTTCTTCCACTTCTCATCATTTAAATCAGTTTCATTTGCATAAGATACATTGTTCACACACAAAACAAAAACAAAAACTCACTGCAGTAGAGTCAACTCAGCCACCCCTCCTTGGGTTTCTGTGGCAGTATCACTACGGAAGTAGATTGCCCAATCTTCCTTCCAAGGAGTGGCTGGTGGGTTTGAACCGCCAGCCTACTGGTTAGCAGTCAAATGCCTTAGGCACCACACCACCAGAACTCCCACAGTTTCCAGAATTAAAGTAAAAACAATCCATAGCAAACTCTTCTCATCCCAGACAAGCCTTGGAACCAGGATCCTCCCCCAAGTCAGAGTACAGACTTACACACAAGCCCCAGGGCTGTCAGGCCAATCAACAGCACCAAGCACAAAGTCAGCAGGGTCAGGGCCACTGGTCGCCAAGCTGAAGAAGGAGCCTGGTGCTCTGCAGGAAACAAGAGAAATGAGGGTTTGGCTTTTTCTTTCTTTTGGATCTAAGTTGTTGTTGTTGTTGTTATTTGCCATCAAGTCGGACCCGACTCATATAGATCCTTCCTTGGGTTGCCGAGACAGTATTACTACAGAAGTAGATTGCCCAACCTTCCTTCTGAGGAGTGGCTGGTGGGTTTGAACCGCCAGTCTTCTGGTTAGAAGTCAAGTGCGTTAGGCACTGTGCTACCAGAGTTCCTGGATCTAAGTTAGCAGCAAGCAAGTTAGAGGAGTTGGTTCTGGACAGGAACAAATGATGCAGGACAGTGGTGAGCATGGGGAGCTGACCTTCCCTCCGTCATAGGCTCAATGCCAAGCCTCACTCATAGGTAGTTTTTTCCAAAACCGCTCCTTTCTATTATCCCCCAAGTCCAATTTTCCTCTGGATCAAGTTACATATTATCATTATATGATTGTTTGCATAACCTTTTTTTGTTAAAACTAGAATGATGAACGTCTCTTGTGAAAATGCCCAAAATGGGGCCTGAGAATCTCTGAACTTTATTAAGGTATGTTTTTTTTTTCTTTTTGACATGATCAGGAAACATAAAGGAAGGTTGGGCAATCCTACTTCCGTAGTGATACTGCCTAGGAAACCCAAGGAGGGGTCGCTATGAGTCGGGGCCGACTCGACGGCACATAACAACAACAACAACAGGAAACATGGAATTAATTTGCTACTACTTTTACAAAAAATAAAAAAAAAAAAAATCTCCCTTATTCCACATATGCTTTTTCTGAAAACACAATTGCGTATCAGTTACAGGAAAAAAAAAATATATATCATTTTACTGTTCTCTTTGGAGTTTGTTTTGAAAAGCTCTTTCTGTGAGGAAGATATTTGGTCATTCATTGGATTGATATCTCTCCAAACATAGATTGTGCAGAAATGTGGTTAACCAGCACAATATCACTAAAGAAAAGGAAGACACGGAGCGGTGCATAAAAGATATAGACAACAAAGATAAATACTGTCACATACACAATACTGCATTATCCATAATAACAAATGTTAATGTATGGGTGAATGCATAGATAGACAGGCAAAATGATCAAGTATGGGTAGGCAAACAGGAATATATCCATGATTATACTGGTGCTTCATACCCACCAGCCACTCCTCAAAAGGAAG